TACAACTGAAGTTGTTGAATCGACAAATCAAAGGTCATCTGTGGCAGTAACTGGTTCGTTTGACAATGTTTTTCCTTTGAGAGATGTCAATGATGTCAGTTTGTTGAATCGACATTCGATGCTGATAAGGAGTAAGTGTGGGGTATTTAAACCTAAGTTTTATGCGGCTAGGTATGATGACATGGAACCTCTTAATGTTCATGAAGCAATTCAGTCACCTCATTAGAGAGCAGTAGTGCATGCAGAGATTGAAGCTTTAAGGAGGAATGGTACGTTGACCCTAGTGAAACTACCTGAAGGACGATCAGTAGTGGGGTGTAAGTGGCTGTTCAAGTTGAAAAAGAACCCTGATGGTTCTATTAGTAGGTATGAAGCTAGATTAGTAGCTAAAGGTTTTCTCAAATGCCAAGACATGATTTTGGTGAAACATTCAGTCCAGTTGTCAGATGTAGTTCTTTCACTAGTTGTTACCAATGGTTGGCAGTTACGCCAGGTGGATGTGAACAATGCGTTTTTGTATGGTGATATGCATGAAGAGGTGTTCATGCAACATCCACCTGGGTTCGAGCAAGTAGTTGTTGATGGTGGTCATTTGGTGTGCATATTAGAAAAGACGTTGTCTAGTTTACGCCAAGCCCCTCGAAATTTGCATTATAAATTAAAGAATTGTCTAGTTAAGATTGGTTTTAAAGAATCTTCAGTAGATACATCTTTTTTTGTCCACTGAGATGATGGACAGTGTGTTTACATACTCGTGTATGTTGATGATATAGTGTTGACTGGAAGCTCCAACAACCAGATTGAAGAAGTAGTGAAATTGCTTGGAAGAGAATTTGCCCTGAAGGATCTTGGTGACCTTCATTATTTTCTAGGCATAGAAGTTAAGCGTTGTGGCAGTTCTTTAATTCTTAGCCAAAGGAAGTTTATCCTATAATTGTTAATGAATACGAAAATGAGCAGTGTCAATCCTGCATCTACACCTATGCTTGTGTCTGCTAAGTTGAGTCAAGATGCGGGGGGTGTTGTTTCAGGATGACTATGAGTATCGAAGCATTGTAGGTGCATTATTATATGCTTGTCACACTCGTCCAGTTATTACCTTCAGTGTTAGTAAGGCAACACAGCAAGAACATCTGGTTGCAGTTAAAAGGATTTTGAGGTATTTGGTGGGAACAATTAATCATGGCCTGGTCATAGCACCTGCATTATCAGGATTCAATGTAGTAGCCTTTGTTGATGTTGATTGGGTTGCAAGCACAGATGATCGCAAGTCTGTCTCTGGCTATTGTGTGTTTGTAGGTGATAGTCTTGTAATGTGGAACTCGAAGAAACAAAAGTCAGTGTCCAGATTGACCATGGAGACTGAGTATAGAAGTGTAGCAAATGTTATTGCTGAAACAAAATGGGTGGATGCTCTCCTAAGTGATTTGGGTGCTGCAAGGCAGAAAATTCCAATAGTTTGGTGTGATAACAGCAGTGTTGTAGCCATGACAGCTAATCATGTCTATCATGCAAAGAGTAAACATCTTGAGCTTGATGTTCATTTCGTTCGTGAGAAGGTGGCATTGAAGCAAGTGTTCGTGAACTATGTGCCAGGAAGCCACCAGGTTCCTGATGGATTCACAAAGCCGTTAGTTGCTACTCGATTTGAAGTGTTTAAAGCCATGCTAAATGTGCAGACTTTCCTTTGGGAGGAAGAAGAAGTGGGGAGAATGTTGAATGATGATTGTTAGCTGATGTGTACGGTTAGTTGTATGGTTAAGGAAGATTTTAGGAGCGGTTGTTAGTTGGTTAGCTGTTGAGCAGTTATAAGGGTTGTTGTAAACTCTTGTATATAAGGAATATTATAGGTCAATAAATGATATGCATTCTCAGTCAATATTTTGTTGTTTTAGTTGTATTCTCACAAAACCGAATCAGGAGGACAATAAAAAAAGAATTGACATAGCCCTCTTGACCTCAGATGAAACTTAGGCAAAAAAGGTCTCCCGATACACTTTTTTAAGACATGGACGTCAATATATCAACCACGCCGTTTGTATCTCTTCTAACTGGTCGAAAGTTTATTTCATACGTACGTTCCAACATCAATCTTATAGTATCGACCTTGGAAACGTTGTATGAATGATTCGGATTACTTTGTTTAACAACCATACAACCTCTAAGCTAAGCCTCCATGCATGTTTTAAAGATCTTGAATCACCTATAATTCTGTGTTTAACATCGAACAATTGAGTCCCTTCTCTTAATTCCTATGGGTGAAGAAAATAAAATGATAAATATTACATAAATTCATGGCTAAAATGATTAAAAAAGTTCTTTAATTACCAAACTATAAACATATACAATTCTCTTGTTAAAATATTATTTAACCGTTAAACATTAATTTTTATAGTTTTGAAACTCAAAACATTAATATAAATTATGATTTTTTTTCTCATTGAAATACTACTATTCACATAAGAGTGAGTAAACAATCAGATTTGCACAAACTAAAAAGGAGAGAGAGAGAGAGTTAAATCCATCTGTATCTAATTCTCCATGAAAGATTGAATATAAAACATCCAAGGTTGCAGTAAAAAGGAGACAGACAGTCATCTATATTCAAAACCAAAAACTCCTAAGACTCGGTTCATAACTCACTAACCCGAAGATCCAGAACAAAAAATGTTAGCAAGGGTGTATTAATAGTTTACAAAAGGAAGGATTGAAGCTTTCATGAACTGATAACATCATCTTCTTCATCTTCTATGATACTCTCCAATGAAGGCCTCCAACAACACTCCACTTTATCTGATCTAGCTTTCTCCATTTCAGCTAAAAGTTCCCCTAACCGATACCCTCCATTACTGTTATTCTTCAGCTTTACTAACAACAACTCGAGCTCCTCTTTTGTAAGCACAATCTTCACCTTCATGCTGCCTTTTACACCTTCGTTTTCCTTCTCAGCAGCTTCACGAATCTCTTCTATTTCTTCTTCTTCAACCTCCTGCCTTGTTCTGAATGTCTTCTCCATACAGTTCCCCATGTTTTTTTCTTCTTTTTTTCAGCTGCAAAAACTTGTGAAATGGGAACGGAATGAGGTATATTTATAAACGAAATTAGGTACTCTAAATCTCCCGTATAATCAACACTGATTTTCTCCTCACGGGACTTGATTTTTCCGCACACTAAGTGACAAACTGAGCAGTCAACTTAATATAAACTAATTACAACTTGGTTTTTTATGGTAGTTGAGTATTAAAAAAACACTTGGCCCTCCATGATCGACCACTGCATTATAATATTTATATATATTGTCGGCATCTGTGTGCAGTGCATGAAGAAATGGTAGAATTTACGTAGACAATGTTCAACTACTTTTGATCTTTTGTTGATCTTAATGAAAACGGATAGTGACAATTAACAATATTATCAATCGTTAATAATCTTGATTTGAAAACACTAGTCTGTGCCTCGTTAAGCATCTTCTTCATCCATTGGGTGAAAGGTTAGAAAATCAAAAGTTACCAAAAGCAAGCACTATACGTTTATCTATAAAGAGAAAGGCCAAAAACAATATGTTTAAAGCATTGATGGTTTAATAAATCGATCTCCTTGGACTTGTTCAACTTTGTTTAATTAGGGTTTTGGTTTCTGTCAAACCACGTGATCAGCAAGCATATCTCTACCGCATGGTGTGGACATAGATTTTATGCACCGAAATTCAGTATTATTTTCAGAAGAAAATTCCTGAAAAATTGTGTGGATCGACCGTTTTGTTTCAACTAAATTGTGTTGTACAAACTGCCAACCAACGCTATTAATAAACCTTTGACACTGATGATTGAGACATGGTTGAAGGAGTTCCCACTTTGTATGAGGTTATCATGACAGAATATCGACGTTGAATATATTTATATTATTTGTTCAACAATTTTTAACAAAAAATGGAACTATATTTTACCACCTTGCTTAACCATTTTTGTTTTTAGGAAGAGGGTTTCGCAATCAAGGGCGTCAAAGCAGTGAAGATTATTAGTCGACAGTCTCCAAAGATTAGGTAGTGGGGAGTGACTGGTTTCAGATTATTTAAATGTTTTACCGTGGAAACACATTAACTTTTTTTTTCCATTTCATCGAGGACATAAATGCAACCTAACAATTTGTCTCCACTTTGTTTTAAATAGATATGTTGACGAATTTGCATATTTTATTTGAATGAAATTATATGATCTCATGGTTAGAGGTGCACAAAAAATTCGAATATCCGATTTTACACAAAAAATATCCGAAACTGGATTTGGGAAAAACCAATTTTTTTTAAACCGGATCGAATATTTTAAAACCAGATAGTATAATCGGTTTAGGAAAAAATTGGACGACCGGATTTTTTACCGGATTAAAAACCGGTTTGAAAAAAATCATGGGGTTTAAAAATCCGGTCTGAGGTTTAAAAAATTGGATGACCGGATTTTTTATCGGATTAAAAACTGGTTACATCATCCGGCCCTCCAAACCGATTATGATCCGAACCGGTTTTTTTATAAACCGGTTTTTTGGCTTAGTGAAAAAACCGGATCAGTTTTTATCCGATCCGGATCGGATTTAAATCCGGCTATGTGCATCTCTACTCATGCTTACCAAACACCATATGAATTGCCATTAGCCTTGTGAAACTATTGCCTTGTGATATGCACAATCATTATTTTGTTTATTTTCCTTCTTTCTCCTGTTCGTCTCGTGACTAACATTATATAGGCCAAAATCTTAACTGAAAATCAATAACAATCAGTCATCTTGATTTATTTAATTAGGGATACTACCTTCTTGCTTGTTGAATATAAAACCTATAGCCTTCATGAATAGTTTAAAAAAATCATTTAAACTGGAAATATACTAGACTACCTATGAAGGGCGGATCCGCCTGCCTACTTTGTTTGAACTCGTAGCACTTAAAACTTTAGTTGGGTCCCAGTATGAGAACAAGCACAGGCGGTTGGGCGTTGGCATGTTTTAACTTGGATAAAACCTACTAAGATATGCATAATGTATGCTAGAAGCATCTTAACAGGGTACATACATATTGTCAAACATAGCACAACTTCAGCTACTACAGAAACATAGTGTGAATACAAAGTCATCAAAGACAACTGCATACGGTTCATAATATTAGAGATAGCAGTTTTATGTTAAAACTCAGCAAGTGCAGTAATAATGTAATATCCACTGAAAAACCTTAAACTACACACGCCGGCGCTTGTTATTAAGGTTCTCGAACATCTGTTTGACATCCGCTGCTGTGATTGCCTTTGAAGGATCAACTGAGCCCTAAAGGGTAGAAAAACAAAAGTATTAAGCATAAATCTCAGATACAGCAGCTAAAGGTACATAAATGAAGAATCTGATGATGAAGGAACATGAAAAAAAAATGCACGGCTTCCTTGGAATATATTCAGCGCAGGTTAGAAACTAAAAAGGTGCACTGCACATTTTATCAAACAAAAAAAAAAGGTGCACTGCACATTTTATCAAAAAAAAAAAAAAAGGTGCACTGCACAATCACGGTCAAGAACAAATAACTACTAAACAAAAGATAGACAATCAATGCCATACCAGGAAGGACCGGAACTCATCTTTGAAATCCGCAATGCCATTCAGAATTTCCATTTTTTCTACATGACCGAGATTGTTAAAGAAATTCAATTCAGCACCCTCCCTTTGCTGCAACTTTTCATCCCTATTTTGCTTGGCATTTTCTTCATACGCTGCTATTGAATCCTCCCTGTCAAGTAGGTAACTGATATTTTTCTGCTTGTAAATGTCGAAGCACTTATCACATTTGCAGAGAGGATCTCTCCAATTCTTAGAAAGAAAGAAGGGTCTACTTTCTGAATCAAGTGATGCAGCCATCCAGTTTGCTACAAGAACACAAGTAGCATTTGAACTGGCAATACTTCCAGATATACTTGAGCTAACATTGCTCTCAGAGCCTTCTCCGACAATGGACTTCTCATCAGATGCAGCTTCACCATTAGTATCAGCAACCAAATGATCCTTTTGGACAGCATCAGAGCACGAATCATTGTAAAGTTTCCCAGCTTCATCGTTAGAAGGGATGTCTTCCACCACAACTTTATTTTTGTCAGCAGCGACAGGCTGTCTCCCAGATGCCAATATGGTTTTAGGATACATAGTCAGAAATGAACAAACCACTGAACATGCCTTGCATATGAAGTCCTCATATAGTGGCTCCCCTTCATCATCTCTAGGAATCTGTCATACAAGTATTTTCAGATCATAATCTGTTACCCAATACCAATAACTCAAAAGAATAGTGCAAGAGCTGCTAAATAGCAGTCGTTTTTTCATTTCCTCCTATGCAATATCCAAGGTCAAGTTAAGCTATTTACATTGCTCAACTTCAATTAAACCAACCATGTAAAAATTCCCCATTCAAAAGTCCTTCAAACAAATAAATTGTCATTAAAATCAATATGTTCACCGAGTTATTCCATGTTTACAAATGAATAGAGTCCATATCCATCTTTAAAGATAATATTTCAGGCCAGAGCAGTGTCAGTGGCATCAAGCTTAATATGAATTGAACTCTAAAGGAGGCAGCAGCAGTATTCACAAAAAGTTGATCATGAGCAGCCTACTGCACATTTCATAATTTTAACAGTGGCAAACAATAATATGGGCTTGTTCAATAGGTCATATCTATATTTTCCAATAATTTTAACAATGAAACCAAAGTATTGTACAATTTTAAAGGATATTTAGGCAAAAACTAGTGAAGAAAAAACCATGATACAAGAATGGAGTACATTCAGTGAGATGCAGCCTACCAACCTCATTGGGAGAGCTGGGACTGATATGCTCCTCGTGAAACCAGTCCTCACACATACAGCACTGCATCATTTCTACTTGTTCCTTGAGATCTGGATCTGGATAGGGGCAATTGCAGGTGCAGTATAGACCTTTGAAGTTGTGATTATATGAATTCTCTGTATTCTCCACATCCTTATTTGGGGAAAGCTTGCATGAGAACTCTCCAAATTTTGAGTTTCCACAATCACATCTAAAATTTCTCTTGGTCCAGAGCTCCAAAACCTTGAATGTGTTGCAAAAATGGAAATCCCTTACATTAATGTAAGCAGATAGAAATGATAGAATTGAATATTTATACGAAGAAAAACAAGTAAAATAAGAACTTTTCTTCGAAGAGCTTGACCAATTGGACACAAATAATATTTCAAGCATAACATATATAACTTAAGTCCAATACTCATGTAACATAGTGCATTTCTCTTATTTTTTCATGATAGCGTAAATAAATTATGTTCAGTACTCAAGACTCAAGTAAGCATGCAGAAATTCAAATCAACATATGAAATGATAAGAATGAAAACCTTGCATGCCACATGTTTTAACCTATATAGAATTGTTAAATCAATTTCTGTGTTCTTCCATTATAGAACATGTTGAAACTCAATAATCTATGACGATCCAAAAAAACCAAGTAATTGGACAGATGATAAAAATATGACCTGAATTCACTACCAAAGAGCAGAGTTAGATACCAGAAACAGCGAGCAGTGTGAATGTTTAATGCAGTTAACGCTGATCCAACAGCAAAGGGATCAATATTATTCCAAGTTAGAAGGACAAAATAAAGAAAAAGCCGCATCAGATGGAAATAATATGGACATAGGAATCAACTCCAATTTTGCAGTCATATTGACTGCTACATGACCCACAAAGAGCAAACCATAACACAACTCAGGTCGTGATCCGCATAAAGCAAAAACAATACACAAACTTCCACTTCAATAAATCATAATTTCAGTCCATCTTAAGAATTGAATCAATAGCAAAAATTAAAGCTTAGCACTAAGAATAAGAGATAACGTCCAATGCATTAAAGAATGGTGCAAAGGAAATTACCTCATGGCCATCATGGCAAGACAAGCAGCAAGCTGTGCAAATTCCAGCATTCCCCTCAGGGGTGCATGCCAAGCAAGAGAAAATTGCCTGTCTCTTCATGTAACCTTTAGAATATGTACACTCATCTCCCTCATCTCCACCCAAAACCAAATCTGCTTCCTTCAGATTAGACAATAAAAAGTTAAATATTGCCCAACAGCATATATAGCTGAAGGAAGCACAACATCACCAATAAAAACAACCAATAGCTAGTTAACTATTCTTATACTTGAGATATACTTGCATCTATTGCTTTTTCAGTATAAATTTAGGATAGAAGATGTGCATTTGAATGATATCATAGTATAAGTTAGATGCATTCCAAGCCAGCATAGAATAAACAGCACTTGAATTCCTGAAATTTTCTCAAAACTTAATCCACGTTCACAATAATTCAGATGTTCAATTTATGTTTTAACCAAAATTTATACTACCTAAAACTTAAATAAACTTGATTTTATCATTTGTAATCAATGAACAAAAAGAGAAAAATATTCCCATGTCCATAAGCGAGAAGAAACAGAAAAGCCCTAACTAAATTCTACAGTTCCTGCAAAACAAAACCCTAAACCCGATATAGAGGGTAGGGAGAGCTTTTACCAACTCTTCTTCTTCGATGCTCTCAAGATATTCGTTGATTGACACAGTCTGCTCACCATCATCGTCGAGATTGGCAGCCATTTCCCTCAAATCACCGTGACAGTCAGAACCAAAATCTCCGCTCTTCGAAACTGAAATTGGAAATGAACAAAAAATAGGGGGAGAAAAAAAAGATAGAAGGATAATTTACTTGTTTGGAGAATCTAGATGTGCCGTATAACGAAAATCCCTAACATTGAAAAAATAATAATAAATATACCTTTTCAACCTCGCAATTAACAGGTTTTGACGGGTCAGTAAGGAATCAGGTTCCTGTAGTACAAACGCGAGAGAGAAGATCAGAGAAAAAGCAAAAACATTTAGGGATTGAGAATTTAGAGCGGATGACTTAAGATGGGGTTTAAAAATACCTAGTAAAATAGAGTAGTAAGGGGCTGAGTAGCATATGGTCATTTTCCCGCCACAAAGTGCCCTAATAGAATCAAATTACGCGGCCCGTTCCCTCAATTTGTTTTCTTTCTCATCTACAAACGGCGCTATGTTTCACAATTTGCTAGTGGATAATACTCCATTTGGACAGGGTGTTCATAATTTGATTAAATCGAATTAATCGATTGAATCAAATTTTAGTCTGTTAAATTTTAAGTTAAATCAATTAATTGTTAGTAGTTTTTTCAACTTTGATTATCGGTTAATTTGGTTTAAAATTAGTTAATTAATAAAATTAATCGAGATAATTAAAATTATTAAATATTTAATATATTATATATATTATTTAGCTTTAGGAATACTTAAACTTCATTTTAATTGAATTAACTAAATAAGCCAAAAATAATAAATATTTAATATACAATATATATTTTTAATATATTATTTATAAACTTCGATTAATTCGATTAACTGATAATTAACCGAACTCAGTTTGATTAGATCAAATTTTTAAGAAAATTTATTAATAAATTTTGGATATTTGGATTGGTGGTTAACTGAATTAACATATTGAATTCCCTTTTTGAATGCAAACGGGCTATGTTTACAATTTGCTAGGGGAATATTCCCCATTATTCCTTCTCACTGGCCCAGAAACTCCATTTAGATGTCTACGGTGAGATTGTTTCACCGCACCATTCTCACTGGTCCCTTTTAACCACTGTTTGACAAAACATGCTCCAGTAGAATCTTTTTCTCTTTCATTTTCACCCTCTATCCTCTAATTGTTTTTATAAATATGAGATAACTATAAAATAATATTTATTTAAAGATTTTCAACACTTAAATAATAAAATCTCGTATCCTTACATATTGATATTTAAATTTGATACTTTAAAAGATAACAATAAATCTTAACAATTAAAATCATTTGATTCTTACTTCTTAAATGTATTTTATTGATTAATTGTTAAATATATTTTAAATTAATTACAATTAACTTTTCTTAGCGTTGTACCAAAAAAAGTTTTCATTTAGTTCGTATATTTAAAGGTTCTCGGGTTATTTATATATGGGTTATTAAAAAAATTATAAAATAATATTTAATAATAAATAAATTATTTTAATATTTTAAAAATAATATTAAGTTTTATGATAAATAATATTATTTATTGTATTTAATATTTGTAATAAATAATTTTTAAAAAACTCATCAACTAGTGGAAAAAATGTTTAAACAACATCATCCAAACATCGTAAAACGTTTTTCAGATGTTTTTTAGAAAAATGTATTTCATTTTCCGGAAAACGTTTTCCAAAAATGTAATTCATTTTATAGAATTCAAATTTCAATAATTCATTTTTCAGAATTCAATTTTCAGAAAACCAAATACAGCTATAGAAACAAACCCTAAGATTCAATCAATTAATGTGACATCTTCAAAATGATTTACAGTTAAACTGTATATAGGGTATTATTTTTAATGTCATCCTTGAACTTTAAAAGTTTAGTGAGCAAAACTAAAACAATATCAATATCTAACAACTAAACAATAGCTTCCCCAAAAAATATGAGTAAACTACACCATTAATCAATAACTTTAGGCATTGTCTTGTTTTGGTCACTAAACTATAAAAATGTTCAGTTATAACATTAAACTTTTCGAATTAGTGTTTTTAGTCATTGAATCGTATTATTGTGATGATGTGATTGTTTCTTTATAACATTAAAAAGTTTAGTGATTCAATCGAATTGGCTTTATATCAACATCTCAGTCCCTGGCAAGTAAATTGAAAATACATCTAACCAAAGCAAGAGGGCTATCCGAAGAAGCGGAAGTGATCAGCTCAAATGCTTCAGTACTGTCAACTTGCAAAATTAGGTGTCGAATACCTCTGTCCCAAACAAGAGACAAACCGTCGAAAATACTCAAAGCTCGGATTGGAGGATAGAGGAGATTCCCAAATACCTGTTCCCATGATGAAATTTTCATTGTGATCCCGTAAAACGCCTCCTGCAGCACCCAAGGTTTGTTGTCTCACCCATCCATCAGTGTTGAGGCAGTGGTAGCGGAGGCAAGGTGACTCCCATTGAACTTCTATGACAGAGGGACTAGAACTTGAAGTTGATGCAGCGTAGTTAGAGGAGTAAGTACATGCCCAAGTCAAGCTCCTATGGAGCAAGGAACAGATGGAAATATGTTCACCTTGGAAAATTTGGTTGTTTCAACACTTCCACGTATGCCATATAATTGAAGCGAATATTTGATTCCACGGCATTGAAGAACCAGCAAAATTAATAAGAGTGGTGGTAGAGAGATTAACCACGACCCAATCTTAGAGCTGAAGATTAAAAAAATTAGAGACACCGCTCCGTCTCACAAGAGAGCTCCACAAAGTCTTGGTAGATTGACAGTCACGAATAATATGCAGCGTCGTTTCCTCATATGAGCAACAGGCTTCGCAAACAGGATCATGAGCAATTCCTCGTTTACATTTGTTAACCTTTGAAAGGATCCTATCATGAGCAACAAGCCAAAGAAAGGTGCGCTATCGTTCAGGAATTTTTTGACTTCGAATCAAAGACCATATGGGGTGAACATTACCCCAAGAGGCAGTAGCAAGAATCTTATAGGCACTTTTAACAGTAAAGACACCATTTGCTTTGTGCTTCCAGTGAACGTGATCCATGCCTAAAGCAGAATTTGACGCAAGGATATTATGAAGATGAGGGATGGCTTGAGTACCCAAAACTGAAAGCAAGCGATGCCAATCCCAATTACCATTACCATCCGAGAAGTTAGCAACAGTAGCATCATCGGATGCAATTGAAGGAAATCGCCGCCATAAGTGTAGGGTCCAAGATTCGGAATCCAAATGTCGTGCCAAAATCAAATAAACTCTCCATTGCCAATCGACCAGGAAAGGTTAGCAAGGAAATTTGTCCAAATTTTGAAAGAGAACGCCATAGAGGGGAGCATGAAGCCCGATGAATGGTGAGAGGAGCCAGAAATGAGACTTTGTATTTTTCGCGCAGGATTTTTATCCAAAGAACACCCGGTGTTGTAACCAAAGCGTTACAAATTTTCCAACATAAAGCTGCATGTGTTGTGTAGTAACTGATGGCGGATCCCCATTCCTCCACATTTATAAGGTTGGCATACAGTATCACATTAAACTAGCGAAAAAGCAGTACCTATATCGTTAGCCTTCCAAATAAAAATGCGGATGAGTTTTTCAATACTCTTGCAAACATGAGCTGACAACAAAGAAGAATGCATGAAATAGGTCGGTATTGCTAATAACACGACTTTTGCCAAAGAGATTCTACCAGCAAGGGAAAGCATTGATGAGGACCAAGTAAAAAGCTTTAGCCTGATCATATCAATGATGGTGTTGTGTTAGAAATAGAATATAATAAAATGTAATTAGTTGGTATTGGTTTAGTCAATATTAACTGAGTTTGTTAAAGGTTGGTTAGTTTGTTAGATCAAGTTGTTAAACTTGGTTTAGTGGTGCTATACAAGTGCTGTTGTAATGGGTTAAAGACTCAAGCATTTTGTAAATCATTTCTTCACATTTAGTATACAGAGTTGCCTCTTTCACAGCTTCTCATCTTCATTCACTGTCAATTACTTTCCTTCGTCTTCTGGTCATCAATGGCACCTTTTTCACATGTTGTGAAGTTTAGAACTTGTGTCATGATAACTCACTGGGATGCCTAGATAGGTGCCCATATCCTCAACATGGCGAAAACCCAAGTGAGAGCTAATGGAGCGTCTCGCGTCTTGAGGAGTATTTGGTGAGAAGAAAATATCAGTCTTCGTTTTGTTGACAGAATGTCCCGAAAAATAGCTGAAAACATCAAGAGTGTGCGCCACAATGGGGGCATGTTCAGAAGTAGCCAGGGCATAAAGAAGAAGGTCATCTGTAAAAAACAGATGAGATAAAGGAGTGCCTAAACGCGAGAGGCGAAAAGGTTTCCAAGGTTAATTAGATGAATCAAACACTCCATAGATAAAATGAAGAGGTGAGGTGATAATGGATCGCCTTGTTGAATATATTTTCCAGGGGTAAAACTCGGACTGAGTTCACCATTTCATTGAACTTGCATAGTGGCCAAAGTGATTAAACCCATGATGAGCGTTACAAGTGAAGGCGAAAACGAGGCATCAATGAGAGTCTCATGGATGAAGTCCCATCTCAAACTGTCGAAAGCTTTCTAGAGGTCGACTTTAATAGCCATCCACCCAAACTTATCCTTCTTTAAGATCATGGAGTGCATAACTTCCTGATTAATAATGATGTTTTCTTGAATGTTCCGTCCGACAATGAAACTAGTTTGATGCTCGCCTACTAGCTTCGAGATAATACTTTGTACTCGTCTTACAATAATTTTTGTAACAAGCTTATAGATAATGGTACATAGGTTTATTGGTCGGACGTCATTAAAGCCTTCGAAGTGAGGAAAATTTCGGAATAAGTACAAGAACGGTACGGTTTAGTGATGGATCCAAAGAACCGCCCATAAAATTGTCTTTAATTAGCTTGCAAACTGAGCTTCCCACAACATCCCAATGTCTTTGAAAGAAGCTGGCATGAATTCCGTCAATGCCGGGTGCTTTAAGAGGGGTCATGGAATTAAGAGCAGCCCGTATTTCATCATCCGAGGGAATGAAATGTAAATAACGGATATCCGCATCAGTTAAACGAGGGAAACAATTGGAGAGCGGGAAAGAGCCCACCACCGAATTGCTATCGGAAAAAAGACCTTTGAAGTGAGAGGTAGCAGCTTCTTTTAAATCCTCATCATTGTCACACCAATCCCCGGAGTGCAATTTGAGCATTTTAACATTGTTCCGCCGACGTTTTGCAATAGCCTTGGAATGAAACAAATTTGGTATTGCGGTCACCAAACTGGATCCAATCAGAAGTTCCTTCTGATCTAAAAGATTTTCAAGCTCACCAAGTAATTTTGCCTCAAGCTTGATTAAATTACGTATCGATGCTGATCCAAAAGCCGTTGAACGCCCCTAAGACGGGCCATGAGCATTTTCTTTCTTTTTCCAATAGAACCAAAAACATTATGATTCCAATCATCAGCAGCTTTAGAGAAGTTTTCGATGACATTGATAATAGGAAGAGAAGAATCCCAATTAGAGCGAAGCATTCGATCAAAATCCATATGTGCAGACCAAAGTAACGAAAGGGAGCCTTCTTCCCCAAGCTGTTACGCGGTTTTGTGCAAGCCATAATTGGAAGGTGGTCGGACTTCATTCTCAATAAATGTAGGATAAAGGAGTCTGGAAAGACCTCGAACCAAAATTTGTTGCAGAGTCCCCGGTCGAGTCGAACATAACTAGCCCCACGGTACCATGGTACCATGGTACCCGAGGTCATATAATTCAGAGTCGATTAACATGCTTTGGAAGTCAGCATCAGGCTTACTAGTTGTTGCACAACCTTTTCGCTCATCATTGGATATTGTTGCGTTAAAATCGCCGATAATTAGCCAGGGCTCAGCAGTGGCGGGGGCGAGCAACCTTGATACGACCATAAAGCCTTTCGTTTACTCGGAGCCGGGCTAGCATAGATAACTGTTGTTCCAAACTATGAGGCGTAAATCCGTGGGCGAAATAAAAGAAAACGAGTCATTCAACCATAGCCGATGATTCTTCAGCTGAAACCAAAGCAACCTCAACATCTGGTAGCGTCATGGTGTCCACGTCAATCGCAGTCGTACATTGAGGTCAATTTTGGGACATGTTCACCTTCTTAGAATAACACTTTTTACCATTTGGATTTTTAGACATGCACTTCATACCTCTTAAATCTAGCAAAATCATTCATTAATGTTTAGGATTGTTACGAAAGATATCAGAAAACCATGATTTTTGATGGCCACAAAAGTAAAGAGAAACATAAATTTGGAGAAAATATGAAGAGGGGAAAATGCAATGTCATATAAAGATGTTTTTTTTTTAATTTCTACGTCATTCGATCATTTCAGCTTTAAAAATCTAATAATACTTAGAGAAAAATAAAATCAAAATCTTAGTGATTAAACATATAATTTACCATATATGCTCCACAAGTGGAAGCACCCCACAAACTATCTAAAGAGTCAAGACCTCAACTCAACTGCCCTACAATCAACCAGTGCTTCATAAAGGCACTGACGGAGCCAGTACATGCTGAGGGGGTGTCAATTGACAACCCAAAAGTTTCTATTTTTTCTTTTTGCCCATATGAATTATATATATATATATAATATAATATAAAAAAATGACACTCCTTTCTAAAAAGTTTTGACACCCTTTAATAAAAAAATTGACTCGACATTAAAAAAATATTTAATAATAAAAAATATAAAACTCATTTTTTCCACTTAAAAATTTATTCATGTAATTTTTAAATGGGTAAATTACATAATTGGTCACTTTCGTTTAAGTTTTGTCTAATTTTCCTAGTTAAATTCAGAAAACATAATATTTGGTAACTTTCATTTTTATTTAAGATTTGATCACTTTTATTTTTTATTTAATTAAGATGTGATCACTGAAGCTTGTATAAGGGGTTTCGACAAACAACCAATTGAATATGTACCCAACTTGATAAAAGAAGAATAAATTATATGTTTAATATTTTAACTATTATTTTTATTTTATTTTGATCATCTAATTATTTTCTTTAAAATTATATATGATGTTACGTTTTAATTTTATTTTGATTAATCATCGTTAATTGTCTAACGATGGTATTATTTTTTTAATAATTTGAAATGAATACAAGATAATATATGTTTGATAGACTCTCCACCATTTAATGATAAACACTCGTAAGTTCCTATAACTATTATCATGTAACTTAAAACATCAACAACTAACAATAATTTTTTAACCAATCTAAAATTTAAATTACTTGACTTAAATAACTTCAAATTAAAAAAAATAGAATACCACGCATAAAACGACTTTAAAGACGAAACCCGGTGCATGCATAATTTCCATGTTTATCAATTATCACGTTTTTCATGAAGTGGCTTCAAATGAATGCAATTTTGTCCTTCATGTCTCCTCAGTATTAATTTTTAGTAAGGTGGTCATTAATGGTAGCAATAGCAACTAGCAACCGTATGCCCCATGCTCCCATTTTCGAATTGTTAAGAAGCCTACTCTTAATTTATAATTTATTTTATAATTTTTAGTCTTGAAAAATATATAATATTAATTTTAAAAAGTAAAGCAAAAGGATATATATATATATATATATAATGATTTTAAAGAAATTATGAAAATTAATTTACTAAGTAGGCTAAGTAGTAAAAAATTATTATTCTAAAGAACTTAAGTTTGGAAAGCTGGAATAGTACATAATATGTATGTATTATTAACAGGCTAAAAGAAAATCTATAAAATTCTTCAACGCTTGTATTTGTTACTTTCCACTCAGCACTAGCAATGTCTTTCATTCGAATTGTCTTCTTCTCCATCTTCCTAATGCTCACTCTTCATCCATCGGCAAGCATTGAATTTTGCCGTGTTTTATGTGGGATTCAGCCGATTCACTTCACTTCCCTTTCCGCCTCAACACCCAACCTAGTCGATGTGGGTATCCCCGCTTCAATCTCTCCTGCAAAAACGAAACGCAAGCCACCCTTACGTTACCATTTTCCGGCGACTTCACCGTCGTAAACACCGACTACATCTTCCAAAACATATGGATCGACGACCCTGATCATTGCACTCCACAGCGTCTTCTGCAGGGACTTAATCTATCTGCCACTCCTTTTGAATTGCTACATCCTCGAAGCTACACGGTTTTCAATTGCTCCTCCTCTGCTTCAGCTACAGAACTAAAACTGCCCGAAGCAAGGTTTGTTTCTTGTCTTAGCGGCACGGATTTCTCGGTCGTGGCGGCTGTACCGACCGAACGGCTTGATTCGTCTGCGTCATTGACGGCGTCGTGTGCGGAGATGGCAGAGGTTTTGGCTCCACTTTCGTGGACTGGTTGGTCGGAACCTGGTGAGGGTATCATGTTGACATGGAAAGAACCTGATTGCAGGTTGTGCGAAAGCAGGGCTGGGACTTGCATGTTCAACAATGATACGGGCTTGGATGTCGGTTGTTCCGGTGGTTTTACCAATGGTATGTTCTATTTTGCAGTGAATGATGCATTAATAATTTTTTGTCCCACGTTAGTACACTTTTCATCAACCAATTGTCTTTTATTATTATTATTTTTATTAAATATAGGCATGAGCATTGAGGCTAAATTTGGCATAATGTTTGGCGTGGGAATACCCCTCTCGCTCATAGTTGGCCTAGTAATTCATCTCAAGGTAGCCCGTCGTCACAATGATCAAAATCCCAACCCGGAAGCATCTTCGGTAGTTAAAGGTCTTGATGGGCGGACCATCGAGTCATATCCGATGACATTGCTCGGTGAAATCCGACGATTGGCGAGGCCGAGCGATAACACTTGCTCTATTTGTCTTTCCGAGTACCGAGCTAAAGAGACATTAAGGACTATTCCGGGTTGCAATCATTATTTCCACGCCGCTTGTATCGACGAGTGGTTGATGTTAAATGTTGCATGCCCCTTGTGTCGTTGTTCACCAGAGAAGCATACCTCCATGGTTGCATCATCTTCTTCGTTACCGTCATAAATCGAAGATTGATTTACAAACAAACATATCTTTATTTTTGTATTTCATATCAAAATTTAAAGAAATTCAAAATATTTTTGTTTCATCCAACTCCTTCATTGTATGAAAAATTCTTATTGAATATTGTTAAATGGTTAGATATAAGGGAAAACAAAATTTGATTCGATTAATTTTTTTCTCGATATTAAAATTTGACTCGTAATTCACAAATTCGATTAGAGTAAAAAATATTTAAAAATGATTTATAAAAATAGGATTAAATAACTTAAAAACTTTAAAAATTAATAGATTATTTTTTTAAGTGTGCATTGGGTCTCTAAAGTTTCATGATATATTTATATCTGAAAAATATGAAGGAACATATTCACATATCGTATATAGTTTTATAAAACCATTTAAATTGTAACTATTTAGTACCACACATTTTAAATAGAAACTTTAATCACTGTATTCAAATCGATTTATATTTCATAAACTCGGTTCCACCCCTTTATAATATGAATACACTGGATAATTTGATGATGCAAATCATGTTCTAGTCTTTTTGTAATACTGCTGACGTTTCTAACAGTCATAACATAATGAAAGAATTGAGAGACATCACCATAGTGTTCTAGTTCTAGAAAATTTAGTCTACCTCTACTTGTCTTTGTACATTTTGGTACCCGCATAAATGCCAAAAAGGAAAACTATTACATTGGCATGGACAAGAGGAAGCATGTGTGGCTATTCCTCTAGATATTCTTTCTTCTTTTGAGTGACTTAAGTTTTGATGCTTAGAGACTGCTAATAGCTTGATTAACCAAAGTGATCTTGCTATTTCATTTTAGTATCGATCTCTGTATTTAGTAATTTGTGTTTATCTTGCAGCTAATGAGGCCACTCATGGAGGAAATAAGGAGCGGATGTCAAGCCAGGTCTGGTGCCATCTTCAACCATAGTCGTGTTATTATTTTGAACCATCTATACTCTATGGACAGCAAGCTGCTTTTTGCTGCGTGCATGATCGTGGAGCATGTTCAGATTCCATGGACAATTTTTTATTTTATTTTATGATAGTGAGTTCTCAACAAATTTCTTCTTATTTTTCTGCAGGCTAGTGATTCCTTGTCAATGACTGACGGTCAAAATGAAATGAAAAAGCTTTTCAAGGAGTAAGCCACTTTTCTATTCGGACAAGGCCATATGCCTGTTGAGAGTACTTGCCGTAATAGATTGTATACCCTTTGGTTCCGTGATTGAATCCTTTAATTGGCTTTTTATGCTATTATCTCTAAACTTTCGGAAGGGCCCTGGTTTGTATTCCGCTTCGATATTTTGTTGAAGGAAAATATGCTGGTAGCTTCACATTGATTGAAATGCGCTTTTAATTTATCTATAACGCTCTTATCCTTCTCCACAACAAACAACTCCAGGCCCTCATCTTAGCCTGACGTCATGATAGGTTCTTAATGTTTAGCATTTATCATGAAATATGTCTCGGGTGATGTTAAATGGATTTATTCTGTAAATATGAAGTTAGAAACACACATTTATTAGGTGTGAACTGTTTTAGATGATAGTTCATTTGGTGGTATTCCCTAGTTTTTGGCTGATCAGAAATGTGCTTGATACTGGCATCCACTTAAATGACATTTTAACTGGTTTTACCTGACAATTTCATTGTTTGTGTTAAATAATTGCAGATATGGTGCGACTCCGTTTACACCGCTGAAAGGGCTTTTTATTCAGGGGCCCATCTTCGTCAGCTTTTTCATGGCTGTAAGAAAAATGTTTTTGTAGTAACTCACTCTGGCTTGGTCTTAGATTGAATATGATACATTTAGAATTATATCTGATGACCTGTCTTTTACTCCAGATTTCAACGATGGCTGAGAAAATCCCATCATTTAAATATGGCGGAGCATATTGGTTTACAGATCTCAGCACTCCAGATAGTTTATACATCCTTCCGGTTTTGACGGCACTGAGTTTTTTGATAACAGTGGAGGTAAGCGTCCTATTTTGTTGGTAACTTAGAGCATCAAGCAACATTTTGCATGCCTATCTGTCGTTTAATCTGTTTTAATCAACTCCTCTATGTCCTCAGTGCAACATGCAAGAAGGTATGGAAGGGAATCCTGCTGCTAAAACTATGAAAAATGTTTCTAGGGTCCTTGCTGCTCTTACTGTTCCGTTTACCATGAGTTTCCCAAAGGTATCACTACTTCCTTTGCCGGCTTCTGCATGTTCTCGTATATGCCATCAGCTGTCAATACGTTAGCAAGCTCATGTAGTACATTTGCATTGCCTACTCTAACAAGCTGGTTTTGGAAAATAATGCCAAATATTTAGCTGCTGTTTATAATTTTCATCTCATTTATTCGGCAGGCCATCTTTTGCTATTGGATCACATCGAATTTGTTTTCCCTTACGTATGGCCTAGGTGAGTCGGTAAATTTCATGATATCAATAAAATATTTTATCGGGAATACCATAAGATATGATTGGCTTTTCCAATATATCTGAGTTGGTCTATAAATCTTTTCCCTTCCAAAATTTTAATTTTGCAGTGCTCAAGGCTCCAGGAGTGAAGAAGGCTTTAGGTGTTCCTGAAATACCGAAGGAAACAACTGTTACCACACAGCGGCCTTCCGTCGATCTGTATACGGCTCTGAAGCAAACTCTCAAACAAGCCAAAACAGCTTCACAACAGTCTACCTCATTTCCTGTTGAGCCAACAAAAGCATCAAACCAAATAGCGTCTACTTCTTCGTCTTCGACCATCAATCAGAGGCTTAGAACTTTAGAGAAACAAGTTAAAGGAAGGAAGAAAAACAAGAAGAGGTGAGAAAAGCTTTCCTTCCGGAAGTGAAATGAGGCTTATTGGTGTTATAGTTAAGGACCGAGAATGATTCTTATATTAGAAATTTTATTTAAAGTGTAGTTTATAATAACGATGGACCGGATCAAATATCGGGAGGGACTAAATTGTTTAGAACATATATCTAATTAAATATTAAAATTTTAAATTTACGAGATAAAGGACATAAGCTACTGCTCTGTAAGTAGAAATAAAAACATATCCCTTGCAATGTTTACTTGTCAATTTTCACTCATTTGACTCTCTCAATCCTATCAATTTCTCCTCCAAGCTTCAATGTTATTTCACCTACAACCCTACTTGAATACCAAAACAACAAGTAAAGTTGAAACTCCCCCTCAACAATGGAAGAAAAGAAAAGAAAAAGGAAACCATTTCCTTGAGTGCATTCTGTATAGCTGCACAATTGTAACACCACAATCCCATAAACCATGTGGAACGTCATCCATTCTTAACCTAAATTGTAGCTTGAAACCGAGACATCAGCAGGAGAAGCAGAATGGATGTATACGAATTCGAGACTTTTTCCGGCAGGTAAAGAGGTGAGCCATTTAGGGAAACCATAAGAATTGCCGGACTTGGTGAGACCCCATATAGGACCATAAAGCTTTGAGATAGAAAGCTTGAGATCCTTTAGTGTTTTGTAGGACTTGTTGGTCACTACTGTGGAATATCTGTAGTATGTTTTTCCCTTGGCATTCCAGGAACTTGTCATCTTCTGCGCTATGGTAATTGGACTAGAAGATGAGGCTGCAATACAAAAATCCCAAAGTTAGTAAGGATCTGTAACCAATGTAGATAACCTCAAACAGATATAAGAACATACCATGAGTTGGAGTCAATTCGGGCTTCGGTGCTGGTTTCGGTTTGGCAATGACTGGATTAGATGTCGGGACAGCCACTGCAGGGAAACCAAGGTCACAATCATCGCGATTGATCGAATACGAGAGAACTCGTTGAAACCATAAAGCTTAATTGGGATATAGTGTTAATTTACCAGGAAGGATTTGGTTATATCTTCCATGACCACCGGCTAGTCTAGCCAGAATGCCAAGGAGAGGAGCATTGTTATAGGTAGCAGGCTCTGTTTGTTCATAATTGTGCCTTTCATCGGCAAAGTTATCATAGGCATCAGGCCCTCCAACTACGGCACCGGTGAGGACGTTAGGATCACTTGCTTTCCTCGTATACCAATTGGCATAACCTTGTCGACAGGCAACGAATTTCGGGTTGACCTTGATCGAAACGATCGAGGAACCTCGGTGATGAACTTGGCGAGGGTAATTGTTTCCATAACCAACCATATAGCTTGTAGCTCTTGGATTGTCTCCGAGAAGGTAATCTACCTGAGAATTCAGCATTACAAAACATCAACAAAAAGAAAACACTTGGTAAAAGGCTTAATCAACGAAGAGATCGGTAATCACCTGAGATTTCGTGAACGCAAGAAGCTGGGATGGCGCGACATTTCCGGCAGCACACTTCAAGCTTCTCCTGGAGGAAGTGAGATAGTCAGAGTAGACAGTTGCTAAGAATGAAGCACTGGTCACGAACTGCATGTTGTTCCATCTTTGTCGGAAAATCAAACCACCCGGAGTCTTCTGAATGTTCCGACTACCTTTTCCGATCAACGAACACATGAAGTACTCTGCCTTCTGATGGTACCTTTCGAAAACCGGCGCATGGTGACCAGCTTTACCTTGCATTGAGAACTGCAGGTGAAGCATAAACCGTTGGTTGCTTGATGAGACATATTAACTACGTAACCCGATAATTGTACAACAATGGGTGAATTTGTTGAAAAATAAAACCTTGGCAACAAGGGTCTGAACCCCCAGCGTACTTGACGTCCCAACCGAACTCGCTCATGGCCCAGCCGGTTCCACCCATTGAGTCACCATTTCTACCAAGATAGTCCAAGTAATATTTATTGTTGCTAGCTTGGTACAGCCATGCAGCAGCCCACAACAACTCGTCCTACACAAATTTCCAACCCAAAACTAATTAATAACAAGAATTTCAAATCTCTGGGTTTGAATATAACATCTTACGTTCTTAAATTTTTATTTTTTTTTATATGAAAAATGAATATTTGTTTAAGATAATTTAGAGAAGCTTACGTTGTAGCCACTGACTGATCGGTAGTATTTTTGAGCAACAGTGATGCTGCTGTCATATTTGCCTCTGTATTTATCAGCAAATTCGAATAACTGGAAATAGAATAATTCAAATGTTAAATAAATAAAAAATCTTGAAATTTGCTGTTGAAGAATATAAGGGTAGGTTGTGTAATACGGGGAGAGACGCATAGGTAGTTTGGGAATATGGGTTTAATTAGGGTAAATTACAATTAGACGTCACTGTATTGTACTCAAATAAACATTTTGGTCAGTAAACTTAAAAAAACAAAATGGTTGTTACACATCAAATTATTATAAAATCATCATTAAATTTTACCAATTTATTACAAAATGGTCATTAAATTTATTGAACGTTTTGTAAAAGTTTAATAAATTGAATGATTATTTTAAGAATTTCGAACTTTCAGTGACCAAAACAATTATTTAAACATAAAGTAGTGATCTCTGGTGTACTTCACCCTTTTTATTTAAGAGTACCGACAGTGTTGACATGTGAGGAAAAGGAACGAATAGCTGTACAATGGACGGTCAAGATCTGCTAGTACGATAGATCTGTACGGTCAAAAAAGACAATTAATTAACCGTAATGGACGGGGCAAAGCGGAGTGCTCCCATGATCCAAATTATGCGCCGAAAAAGTTTACCAGCGTTATATAATTTTTTTTTCAATTTCAAATCAGAACATCCAAACGACACCGTTCTCATGGAAAAGCTACCAACTGTCTTTAACTACCTATTTACTACGGGTCTAAAGCTTTTCGTGTCAGTGTTTGGGAACTGAGGTAAAGCGAGTTTATATATATATATATATATATATATACCTGGTAGGCATGGCGAAGGAGCTCCCTGGAATACGCAGGGTTGGAGCGGCGGAAGACGATTGAGGCGGCGGCCATGGCGGCGGCGGTTTCACCGGCGATATCCGACCCGGGGTTACTTGGGTCGATCTTGTAAGCACGACGGTCGGTTGTCATATCCTCCGGTCTTTGCCAGCAGTAATGGTCACTGTTACCATCTCCCACCTGTAAATAATAAATAGACCAAAATTTAACTGGCATTGAATTGTTAATTTATGGTTTTTTTCTGTGATTCAAAAAGCAATATGAACCTCGCCGTAAAGGACATAAGGACGGGGATGAGCTTTGATGAAGTAGTCAGTTCCCCACTTGACGGCCTCCATGGCATGGCGGAGCTCACCGTTGGCAGCCATTTGTTTACCGTACTCTATTATGCTCCAGGACATCATTGTTACGGTGAATGCCATGGGCAATCCAAACTTCACATTGTCACCTGCATCATAGTACCCCCCTACCAAATCAACCTGCAAAAAAAATTCCCAAACAGATTGGTTTCTAATGGTAATTTTTGGGGGTAAAATTAAAAGAAAATAGAAACAGAATGGGAGCAGAGCTTTTAGCTTACCCCACTAGCCTTGCCGTCATTCAAACCGGAGTTAGCTCTCCATGTGATTCTCTGGTTACGAGGGAGGTAACCGGATCTCTGAGCTTCAAAGAAGAGAATGCTCTTACTCAGAGCTTGGCTATAGTCATGCCCAGCAAATGCAAAAGGAAGGCCAAATATCAGAAACAGAGGAACCATAGAAACCAATCTCATTAACTTCTCCATGTGTATTCGCAGTTATCAGAAGAAGAAGAAAAATCTGTCTCTGCAGCTGAGTATACAGAGTTTGTATACTGCAAAATAGGATTTCCTTAGACTTTCTAAAACTGATAAGAAAAACCCATTTTCATTTAAACAAAGTAGAGGAAATGTGGGTTATGAATTATCAGTTGAAAGTAAAAAAAAAAAAACTTGATAAACACACCAACACCAAGAAACGAGATTGTCAATTGAGAGAGGAACTCAAGTTTCTATATATGGTGGAGAGACGGAAGGTACCGAGAGGCTCCAAAGAGGCAGAGATCAATAAATGAAAAAATATTTTATTAAATTTGAATTATTTTCGTATTACAATATTAGTAAACATTAAACTATTTCAAAATATTTAAAAATAAATTAAAATTAAACTTTAAAAACAATTTAAAATAATAAATTATTCAACGATTAATTTAAAATAATGACTTGCTGAAATTTTCTGAGAGAGACATGTGGCATTTGCTAGGAAACCTGTACTGTAGGCAGCATATCGCGGTTAATTTGGGTTTTTGACTTGTAGGAAACATGCAGCACTTCCCGATATAGTTTTGAAATTAGTTGACTCATCATTATTTCAAACTTTTTAGTCTTTGAGTGGTGTTGATTTGATTTAAATTGCAGTTGTGCTTATGTTTTTTCCCTCGTTGTATTATATTTATTATAATACATCTCACTGTGGAACGTAACCTCTCTTATCCTGAAGAATACGAAGTGGGCAAAAACCCTCGCCATGCCTTAACTTGCCACGCAAGAAACAAAACAATAGTAATTTCTCATATGTAACTCTTCCCGGCAGCAAAGTAACTCTCCGCAGAGCTAATTAATTTGCCTGTTTGTACCCGTTGGTGATTAAAATATTTTAATCAAAACTTTGAATTTTATTTCACAGTTGATGAGTGTAACACAAACTAAAATCAATTCGCATGTGAAAACAATCGTTGAAATCTAAAGGGATCGACTGTGATTTGTGATCTCCCCGCGAGTCACGAACTGGGGACGTTATTTTTTTATTCAAAGTTGGTGCGGAAATTTCTTTTAAAGGGAAGCAAACACAATAGGATAAAGGTGGTGGAGCCATTAATGGGGGCTTCAAAGTCCTCCAAAGAGGTATGAAAGTCCTACACTGAGTTCATTTGCTTTGTTGATGTAAAATTTATATTAAAAATTTAAAAGTTATATTAGAGTG